ATATATATATATATATATATCTTCTTAATCAGAAAAAAATAAAGCATTTTTGAAAAGTGTGTATCTGGTCTATTCATAACAAGATGAAACTCAACCATTTAATCTCTGAACCCTAGTAACTGCCCTGTTCCCCCACTAATTCTCTTATACCTTCTAGCTCTTCTTTATTCTTTTGCTTCTTTTCCACTTAGGGTCATAAGCGGGGCCAGTTGCATAATTTATGAGGATTATGCCAGATGAAAATGTGATGCCCTTGCTCAAAAAGCAGGAAAATGTCCTTTCTTTCCTTCCACAGTTTTTCTCTTAACCTGTCGTGGTATCCTTTATTTGCTATTTAGTGTCCTGTTTCCTTGGGTATGAGGTTACTTACAGAGCAAGTGTAGACCCTCACAGGTGCCTGAACACTGCTCTGTGATATGCTCTGACTCTCCGATGCCTGTTCCCAGGACCCAGCCAGAGGTGGACAGTGGCACTGTCACTGACAGGTGGGTGAGCCAGCTGCCAAGGACTCATTTAGGGGAGGTGGGCAGATGGCAGGAGATGGGACATTGTGTGATTCTAGGCTCCAAGCCCTTAACACGTTTCTTTGTCCCAATGACTTTTACTTATAAGACACAAACTCAAAGGTAAAATCATTAAGAATTTGAATCCAACAACCACAGAGCATTAAACCCCAGTGTGAGGCCCCCTTCTGAGTATGGAGGTACTGTGCAGCTGTACTGGCCTTGCGCTCTAGAAGCCCTGGTCATGTGACTTTTAAATTTGTTCCTGAAACCTGGCATTGGCAGATTAGTGGTAAACTTGGTAGCCAAAATAACTTTGAAATTTAATTTTTTGCCATCTCCCTGGTTGTTCAACCCCTGTGAAATAGTAAATGAAACAATGGTTAGAATCACTAACTAAAAATACGATTTTTATGTTATGTTTTATCACTTTGTTTTATTATTCTCGAATCTCTCTCTCTCCCTCCCTCTTTTCTCCCTTTAAATGCTGGGCCATTCCCAAACACTATGATGGAATGTCATAGCTCTTTCTTTCTAAAATTATTGATTTAGTCTGATAAAAAAGAATCATTTAATCTGATAGAAAGGAATAGTTACCCCTCAATATTTTCTCCAAATGCAGAGAAGGAATATCATTGTCATATCATGTAACTGTTTAATGCCTGTATGATTAATGTTACTTAATAGGCATATAATAAGCACCTCTGATTCCCACAACTGATTTTGAAATGCCTCTGCTGTCGGCAAAGAATGTCTACTTTGACTATATCGTAGTATGTGGCTGAGAGGTGAAAATAAAAAGTTGATAACTTTCCCAGCAAATGGAGATCCACACATGGCATTCTAAGAAAATTTTATGCAACTTATGTGAGACTGGGGATTCGTGGTCTTAATTTTTGAATTTCTGGACACTTTTATGACCTCCTCAGCCAGGCTACCTACTTGAATGTAGACTTTCAATTTTCCTACGGAGGTATAATATCACTGAAGCCTTTATGGTATATATTATTTCCATTACCAGGAAGATACAAAGTCATTTTTACTTTCCTTTGAGAGTGTCTCCAGTCCAGGTGTAATAATACTAACACTAAAGCTATCTGATGGCTGAGACAGAAATGGAGCATGTTGGTTGCATGTCTCCTGCTGAGAATTTGTTTCATGAACTTGATAGAAGTTCTCTGAAGAAGCCACATGGCATTTCTGTTCCTGAGTTTTCTGAAATATGTTGGGAAGGGGTCAAAGGGAATGGATAGTTGAATATAGGCCAACCCTGCTTTCCTTGAATGTCACTAATTCAATGTGTATGGTGCTCTAGAGTAGTATTTCTCAAACTGTAGAGTGTACCACAGTCACCCAGAGGACTGATTAAAACAGAGTGCTAGGGGGGCGCCTGGGTGGCTTGGTCGGTTAAGCATCTGACTTCGGCTCAGGTCATGATCTCATGGTCCGTGAGTTCGAGCCCCGCATCAGGCTCCGTGCTGACAGCTCAGAGCCTGGAGCCTGCTTCGGATTCTGTGTCTCCCTCTCTCTCTGCCCCTCCCCTGTTCATGCTCTGTCTCTCTCTGTCTCAAAAATAAATAAACGTTAAAAAAAAAAAAAAACAGAGTGCTAGTCCTCATGCCTATAGATTCTGATGCAGCAGGTCTGGGGAGGGGCTGGAAATCTGCATTTCTAACATACTTCCAGGTGAGGCTGATACGGCTCTTCTGGGCAGCACACCTTGAGAACCGCCCATCTAGTCGAGAAGGAAGCATCAAATCAGATTTGCCAGGCACATCATGTAATGAGCCAGTTGTTGGATGTGGACCACGCCCCACCTATAAAGGGCAACTTCTCCTTAGCCAATCGATTATTTTTGTTGAATCTTATTCCTTATTGAGGTAGAAAGTGCTTCCAGTGAGGTGTGTAGAGGGTTGAAACCTAAGTGCATAGGTGAATGTATTTTACATATACACCCTTACCACCACCACTACCACCCAGATCAAGATACTGAATGTTTCCATCATCCCCAAAAGTACCTGCTCTGCTGGAAGTAGACTTATGCTAACTTCCAACACCACAAATTAGTGTGGGCTGTTCTTAAACTTTGCATAAGTGAAACCTTACAGTGTATGCTTTTTGTTTTGGTTTCTTTTGCACCATGTATGTGAAGTCCATTCGTGTTGTTGAGTATATCAGCTGTTCTATTTATTGCCCTGTAGTACATCCAGTGTAGAAACTACCACAATTTGTCTCTCCATTCTCCTAGAGCTACTTGGTTGGGTTATTTGCAGTTTTTCTGCTGAAAGCCGATTCCAGCTGAATATAAGCACAGTATTATTTTCTGGTTTTTCAAGAAAGGAGCTAGACATCTATGTTGTTACATAAACATTTTAAATGTTGGTGAATATTTAACATTTTGAACATTGAGCAGGTCATGTTAAACATGGTTGTGGCCCATGTCTGGCCCACGAGTCATAGGTTCTCAACGCCTTTAACATCTTGTCCTCACAAATGTTTCCCTCATGGCTAAAATGCCTCTTATGCCCCTGTACAGAGTCAAGCCTGAGACATGTAGCGCTGATGGGTGCCTGCCAGCAGAATTTCCCAGAATCTCTTTTGTTTAAGCTTACATAGATTCTGCTCCCTGGAAGATTGTGGGTGTGAAATAAACTTCCTTCTCTCCACCAGGCTTGGGGAGCCCAGGTTCATGGTCCTATAGGAATGAATTGAATGGTATTGATGCTTCTTAGCGTGCAGTTTGCAAAGTGCATCTGTGTCATTGCTGTGTTATTCATTCATTTATTTATCTTGCCAAAACATTAGCATTTGTGAAACAGCTTT